GTTTTGCCCGCGAGGAGCCACTTCCGGGCAGAGATAAATAGGGGCTGAGAGGAAAATTGGGAGCGCGGATGCTGCTCCCAGCATCACGACCTAAAAGGTATCCTGTGAGTCGACCCTTCCCCGCCTGCGCCACCTCAGTCCTCGGTCTTTGAGGCCGAGCTGAGTTCGGTCCTTCATTGCTGCACAAAGAGGAAGGATCGTTCACAATGCTACCTTCAGCCCCGCCGCCAGCTCAAGAATCTCAGTGCTATTTTGTCCTTGATCTTCGACTTATGTCCTTCCACTATCCTTGAATGACCATGCGTCGTCTTCAAGCTGAGCTCTTCCCTTTTGTCAGAATTCTGCGCAGAACCCAAACGCCCAATACGATGGCTACACCTGAATTCACCTTATCAGCCCCGCTCCCTCCGAGCCGGTCCCTCAGGGAAATCGCACCTCCCTTGTAATCTATGCAAGGGCGGGGCTCCGCTGGTAAGTGGCTTTGTGGTCCAAGACAAAGCTTTCTCTTCACCTGCGAAAGAGACGGGGTGACTATTGTACCAGCATATATGCTCAATGGGAGGTCAGGATCGTTGGTTTTGTGTAGGTGTAGAAAACTAACTGTAGTTGTCACGTGTTAACTCCAAAGCTGTCTTTAGAACCCTCGCCTTCCCAGCTCTGACTAGCCACCTGGCCAACCTGAAAGCCTTTCCTCACTGAATACATCTTACTGTAACTTCTGGATCTATATTTTTGCTTCAGCAGAGCGAAATGATTTGCTATACCTGGTTGGCTGATCACTACCTTTGCATCGTTGCGTCTAACACTGCTTTTAGTTGAAGGAGTTTACTATTCCACCAACTCTTGATGAGCTCTTTAGGGCCTGATTCCAAACTTGCATTTTCCTGAAAATACTGCTGCTGAATAACGTCACCCTAACTTTTTTTTTTTGGTTTACTAAAACAAAACTATACTTTTGTGCTTCTTACCGTATATTAACAGGGATAAAATTCAATCAACCTATCCAAATAAGTTTCACTCAGCCTTTCTGTACACTCACTCTTTGGTGATCTCTTCTAGTCTTACACTGTAAAATACTATCTATATGTTAATAACTCCCAAATGTATAACTCCAGCAGAACTCTCTCCCCTGAACTCCAGATTCATATATCCATTGCCTACTTACCCACTTAAATGTCTCATAGGCATTTTAAACTCAAAATGTTCAAAAGAGCCCCTGGTCCCCCCCGCCCCCCACTTCTTACAAAATCTTCTCTGTAAAAGACATTCATTGTTCCATTTTTAAGCCAAAAACCTTGGTGTTATTCCTGACTCCACATCTAATCCATAAGCAGATTGTGTCAGGTCTTACAAGTGGTCCTGAATTCCTACCACTTTTCTCCACCTCCACTGTTACTGCCCTAGTCCCAGTCACTATCACTCAACTGGGTTATCTGCCTTCACCTCAAATTTGTTCTCCAGTACAGTAGAGTAATCTTAAAAGAGACCTAGTCACTCCTTTGCTCAAAACCCTTCAGAGCTCAGAATAAAAGTCCTTACAATTGTCTAGCGCTGCACTGTCTAATATGGTAGCCATTAGCCACAGATGAGCACTTGAGCACTTGAAATGTGGCTAGGGCAACTGAATTTTTGATTAATTAACCTAATTAAATATAAAAAACTAATAGTGCAATTATTAGAAGACTTTTAAGTATATTTGGAACTATCTGACATGTGAATCTACTTTTTCAACTATAAAATTTTTGAGATCTAAATGTAGATTAAGTACTTACAGTGAAAGTATCTGAGTTTCATACCTGCTGTGAGTATAAGTACACACTAGATTTTGAAGATTTTAATATGAAAAGATAATGTAGAATGTGTTACTGATAATTTTTAAAATACTGATCACAGTTTGAAATGAATTTTGACATACTGGGTTAAATAAAATATATTATTAAAATTAGTATCCACAGGCACAGACCATAGGGGACTAAGACACATAATAGCTAAAAGCAATGTGGTATCATGGATTGGATCCTGAAACAGAAAGTGGACATTAATGGAAAAACAAATGAAATCCAAATAATAAGTAACTGAGGTTTAGTTAATATAATGTAACAATATTGGTTTCTTAATTTTGACAAATGTACCAGAGTAAATAAGATCTTAACAATAGGAAATTTTTTTTTGATTCCACATATGAGTGATATCATATGGTATTTTTCTTTCTCTTTCTGGCTTACTTCACTTAGAATGACGATCTCTAGGTCCAACTATGTTGCTGCAAATGACATTATTTTATTCTTTTTTATGGCTGAGGAGTATTCCATCGATAATAAATTTGAGTGAAGCATGTATATCAACTTTCTGTACTACCTTTGCAACTGTTGTGTAATCAAAAAGCACTCCAAAATGAAAAAAAAATTTCTTAAAATTTGGAATTTTCAAAGAAAAGGAGGGCAAACTGAAAATATACATTTGAAGGAAATATGGGCCCAAATTGTCCAAATATGGTAAAAACTATAAACCAACAGACTGAAGAAGCTCAACAAATCTCAAGTACAAGAAACTTTACAAAAATTACATGTAGGCCCATAATTAAATTAATCAAAATTAGTGATAAAGTCTTAAAAAGCAACCAGAGAAAACACAATTACATAGAGGAAGCATCATAAGGATAAGAGAAGACTTCTCATCAGAAACAATGTCAGCCCAGAGACAGTGGAGCAGTATCTTTAAGAGCATACCTGAGAAATATTGCAGATTTGGTTTGACCACTGCAATATAGCAAATATTGTGATAAAGTGGATCACGTAATTTTTTTGGTTTCCCAGTGCACAGAAAACCCATGTATGTTTACACTATATTATAATCTATTAAGTTTGCAATAGCATTATGTCTTAAAAAAATCCCTTAATTAAAAAATACTTTAATTGCTAAAAAAATGCTAACAATCATCTGAGCCTTCAGCAAATAGTAATCTTTTTGCTGGCTGAGGATCTTACCTCTATGGTGGTGGCTGCTGACTGATCAGGGTGGTGGTTGCTGAAGATTGGGATGACTGTGGCAATTTCTTAAAATAAGACAATGACGTTTGCCAAATCAATTGACCCTTCCTTTCATGAACAATTTCTGTGTTCTCTGCATCCTCTGCATGCAATGCTGTTTGATAGCATTTTACTCATAGTAGGACTTCTTTCAAAATTGAAGTCAGCCTACTCAAGCCCTGCAGCTGCTTTCTTAGCTACGTTTATGTAATATACTAAATACTCTGTTGTCATTTTGACAATCTTCGCAGCATCTTCACCAGAAGTAGATTTCATCTCAAGAAACCACTTTCTTTGCTCATCCATAAGAAGCAAGTCTACATCCATTCAAGTTTTATCATGAAATTACAGCAATTCTGCCACCTCTTCAGGCTCCACTTCTAGTTCTGGTTCTCTTACTATTTCCACCACATCTACAGTTACTTCTTCCACTGAAGTCTTGAACCTCTCAAAGTCATCCATGATGTCTGGAATCAACTTCATCTAAACTCCTGTTAATGTTGACATTTTGGCTTCTTCCTGTGAATTATGAATGTTCTTCATTGCACCTAGAATGGTGAATCCTTGCCACAAAGTTTTCAATTGACTTTACCCAGATCCATCAGGGGAATCAGCATCTTTGGCAACTACAGCCTTATGAAATGTATTTCTTAAATAATAAGACTTGAAAGTTGGAATGACTCCTAGATTCACGGGCTGCAGAATGGATACTGTGTTAGCAAGCATGAATACAACATGAATCTCATTGTCCATCTCCATCAGAGCTCTCGGGTGAGCAGGTGTGTTATCAATGAGCAGTAATATTTTGAAAGGAATCTTTTTCTGAGCAGTAGATCTCAACAGTGGGCTTAAGATATTTAGTAAACCATGTTGTCCACCAACAACTGCTGTCATTCAGTCTTTGCTGTTCCATTTGTGGAGCACAGGCAGAGTAGATTTAGCATGATCCTTAAGGGCACTAGGATTTTTAGAATGGTTAATGAGCACTAGCTTCAACCTAAAGTCACCAGCTGCATTAGCCTCTGACAAGAGGCAGCCTGTGCTTTGAAGCTTTGAAGCCAGGCATTGAATTCTCCTCTTTAGCTATGAAAGTCCTAGATGACATCTTCTTCCAATAGAACACTGTTCCATCTACATTGAAAATCTGTTGTGTGATATAGCCACCCTTATTCACTCAGCTAGATCTTCTGGATAACTTGCTGCAGCTTTTACATCAGCACTTGCTGCTTCACCTTGAACTTTGTTGTCATGGAGGTGGCTTCTTTCCATAAACTCCATGAAACAACCTCTGATAACTTCAAACATTTCTTCTGCAGCTTCCTCACCTCTCTCAGCCTTCATAGAATTGAAATGACTAAGCCTTGCTCTGGATTAGGCTTTGGCTTAAGGGAATGTTGTGGCTGGTTTGAACTTCTATGCAGACCACTAACATTTTCTCCATATCAGCAATAAGGGGTTGTTTTGCTTTCTTATGATTCATGTGTTCACTGGAGTAGCACTTTTTTTTTTAATTTGTTGTAATTTTTTTTGTCCTTTTTTTTTTGGTAGGGGGATGTAATTAAGTTTATTTTTTTAATGGAAGTACTGGGGATTGAACCCAGGCCCTCATGCTAAACATGCACTCTACCATTGAGCTATACCCTCCCCATGGAGCAGCTCTTTTAACTTACTTCAAGAACTTTTCCTTCGCATTCACAACTTGGCTAACTCCTTGGCACAAGCGGCCTAACTTTCAGCCTATCCCAGCTTTTGTCATGCCTTTCTCACTAAGCTTAACCATTTCTTGCTTTGACTTAAAATGAGAGACACACAATTCTTTCTTTCACCTGAACACTTAGAGGCTGTTGTAGAGTTACTAATTGGCTTAATATTAATATTGATCTGCCTCAGAGAATAGGGAGGTCCAAGGAGAGGGGGAGAGATGAGGGAACTCCTGGTTGGTGGAGCAGTCAGAACACATACATCTATTTATTAAATTTGCTATCCTTATATGGGTGCAGCTAGTGGTGAGCCAAAACTATTACTATAATAACATCAAAGATCACTGATCACAGACCACTATAACAAATAATAACGAAAAAACTTGAAATATTGCGAGAATTACTAAAACACGACACAGAGATGTGAAGTGAGTCAATTCTGTTGGAAAATAGTGCCAACAGAGTTGAGTGATGCAGGGTTGCCACGTACCTTTAATTTGTGAAAAACAAAACAAACAAAACACAATACCAAATAAAATAAGGTATGCCTGTACTGAAGAGGAAAAAGATCATCAACCTACAGTTATATACCCAGTGAATATATTTTTCACTATGAAGGAAAAATAAAGATGTTTTCAGACATCCAAAAATTGAAAGAAGTAATCACCAGTAGATCTGCAGTATAAGAAATATTAAAGGAAGTCCTTCAGGCTGAAAAAATTCTGAATCCACATCAAAGAATTGAAAAAAAAGACTGAATATGATAAAAAGGAGTACATATAAAAGGCACTTTTCTTATTAAAAAAATCTCTTTAAAATATAACAAATCAAAAAATAGTAACAATGTATTGTAAAGTTTATAACATATACACAAGTAAAACATATGACACTAATAGCACTGAGGCCAGGATGAGGGAAATGGAAGTATAGTATTTAAGATTTTTCTACTATATGCAAATATAATATTACTTGTGGTAAATTAAAAATGCATTCTATAAATCTCCACTGTCTGCTACCTTAGCTACTAGCCACAAGCAGCTCTTGAGCACTTGAAATGTGACTAATCAGAAAGGGAATATCCTACAAATGTAAAATGCATATCAGATTTCAAAGACATGGTGGGAAAAATAACATAAAATTTCTCATTAATATTTTAAACTGTTATAGGTTGAAACGATACTTTGGATATATTGTATGAAATTTTGAAAGTATTAAAATTAGTTTCACCTGCTACTTTTAACTTTGTTTAAAATGGCTATTAGAAAAATTGTAAATTATATATGTGGCTCACATTTTATATCTATCAGATAGTATTGCTAGAAATGTTAAAGAGGTTAAAAAAAGTAAAAAATAACTCTAAAAATCAGTAAAAAGCTAAAAAACAAATAAAATTAAGCAAGCAAACACATAAAAGCAAAAGGTCATGTCTAATCAACAAAAGAGAGAAAATAAAAATAGTCATTTAATCTAAAATGAAGCAGAAAGTCAGGAAAGAAAAAGAGGGCAGTTGAAAAAATAGAAAAAAAAAGAAAAAGAAAATGGTAGAATTAAATCCAATTATATCAATAATCACATAAAGTATTCATGATCAAAACAACTCCTGAAAAGGGTAGAGATTTTTGTATTGAATAAAGAAGCAAATCCCGACTATCTGCCGCCTACAACAAACCCACTTGAAATATGAAGATATAAGCAGGATAAAAGTAAAGGAATGTAAAATAATAAACCCACTAATGCTACTAAATACAGAACCAGAACGACCTCACTTGGTAGAGGTCTATGAAAATAGACTTAAGGGTTTTTGACTATCAAGGTAAACGGTCTTTGATCTCTGATCTCAGGTGTGTATTGAAAGCATCCTTAGACACAGATCCAGAGTGGAAACTTGTTAGAAGTGAGCACATCTGCTGGACGTCTAGATTGAATGCTGTGAATTCCAGTCCCAGATTCTCCATCACAGGTATCTGGACAGCTGTGAAAATAGGCACTGTTTCTCTCTGATGGTCCAGAGTTGTTTCGGACACGTATCACAGCAGTGGATTGAACACAGAATCTATGAACAGGCTTAGCTAGTTCAGAGTCACTAGCAACTAAAATGTCCCCGTCAAAACTTCAGGATGGAGAAATGGGATTTAACTGGAATAATTTGCCTCAACATTGGAATAAGTAATCTAACTACACAGCCCCGCCAACATTCACCATCCCCTCGGGTCACTGATCTTAGGAGGAGAAGAGAAAGTAAATCAAGAAAGAGAAAAGAAAATAAACTTGTCAAATGCTCTCCCACAATGTAGGCTGTTAAGAGCCAGGATGCTATCCCTTCTTGGTGTACCTAAAGTGATCAGAATTTCAGATGAAATGTCTTCAGGGCAGAGGTGTATACTAGTGAGCTAGGGCTGCTGTCACAAAATCCCACAGACTGTGTGGCTTAAACAACAGAGATTTGTTTTCTCACAGTTCTGGAGTGTGGAAGTTCAAGGTCAGGGGGCCAGGAGAGTTGGTATCGGATGGAGAGAATAAAGCCTTAGTCCCTAGGCATGGTGGGAGTGGCAGCCTGATGATAATCTCTGATTGAGTCATCCCTTTTCTTGAAGGATAACACACGTTCCCGGCAGGATAGCTCTATTTTTTGTCCTGTACAGTCCTGCAAGCCTGACAGCCTTCCTTTAGCCTATCCTGTTTTCTCTGTCTCTGCCTCAGCTGGCAATGTTTCTGCTGGTATAATCTCACCGTTATTCCTAGCTGCAACCGAGATGGCTGATTAAATTTGTGGGCAAACTTTATATAGAGAGATTGTCCAGCTACATATGTGGTGTTCTCTTCAGAGCCTGCTTTCTCATATCTCTGCAGTATGGATAGGCTGAGAATTTCCCAGATCTTCAAGTTCTGATTCCTTTTTGCTCAATAATTCCCTCAGTGCATTCTCTCCTCTTGCATTTAACTGTGAGCAATAAGGGGAAACCAGCTGCACCTTCACTGTCTTTAGTCTCTGATTGTTTCCTCTTTTCTTTCTGAGCTCTCACCACAATCATCTTTAACACTCATATTTCTTTTTTTTTAATTGATGTATAGTCAATTACAATGTGTTAATTTCTGGTGTACAGCCCAATGTCCCAGTCATACATATACATACATGTATTCATTTTCATATTCTTTTTCATTAAAGGTTATTACAAGATATTGAACATAGTTCCCTGTGCTATACAGAAGAAATTTTTTAATCTATTTTTATATATAGTGGTTTACCTTTGCAAATCTCAAACTCCTAAATTTATAACACTCACATTTCTACCAAAAACGCCTTCAAGGCAATTCAGGATTTTTCTAGCATGCACCTCAAAGCTCTTCTAGCCTTGACCCATCAAAGCCATTTCCACATTTTTAGGTGCTTGTTACATCAGCATCCTCCTTCACATTCCTAAAATCCATATTAATCTGCCTGGGCTGCTATTAAAAAAAAAATAGACTGAGTGGCTTAAACAACAGAAGTTTATTTTCCCACAGCTCCAGAGGCTGGAAAACCAAGATCAAGGTGCTGGCAGGGTTGGTTTCCGATGAGGCCTCTCTCCTCGACTTGCAGATGGCATTTTGTAGTGCGTCCTCACACCGTCTTCTGTGCCCGGGGAGGGAAGTGAGAGAAAGATCTCTGACACCTCTTCTCTTCTTATAAGAACACATTATATCAGGGGTTAGGATTTCAACATCTGATTTTGGGGTAGCACAAGCATTCAACTCATAACAATTATGATACATATATACATAGTATGTAGTGACTAATATATATTCATATCAAACAATGTAAAAATAGTACACACACACACACACACACACACAAATATATATTTCTTTAACGGTGGGCGAATGGATGAAAGCAAATTAAACACAAATGATTAATCTCATCCAGAAGCTCCAGGTATTTTGAAAATGTTTAGACGACATTTTGAAGATGGGGTGGTGTTCCATCTTTTAGCCTGTGACTCACTCTTCCAATGGCTAGTGCAGCCTTCCCTTTCTTGGAAAAATGCACATTCCTCCAGTGTGTCTGAGTCCCTTGAGTCTTTCACATGTGCTCATGTACAAGAACATGCAGCTACTACAGAGGGTTGTAATTGTCCTCCATTGTCTGCTTAAATCATCCTTCTTGGGATCCTATTTGATTTGCAAGACATCACTGCCATTTTCCTGTTGCATTATTATTACTGAGACTCTATTAAATCAGGGGTTGTGTGTGTCTGTTTGCCAAATTCCTCAACATAGGGCTGTTCTAATGTGAAAGGTAGACCAGTAGAAGTTTGACCTCTATGGACGTCCTTGAAGAAGCAGTTGCTAGATACTTAGTCATGGTATGGATATCCTCCAGCAGAGAGGAGGAAACCAAAGCCACTACAATGTCTCAGGGAGTGTCCCATCTTAAGGCCCCTCAAGTAGGCAGGAGTTGAAATATTTGAGTCAAAGCAGAGGAATCATGTATTAGTGTGAAGAGTGAGCTTTGTGGCAGGTCACTGAGTAGCACCATTTGACATTTTCTCAGAACCAGCTCGAAAGAATTGAAGTTTGTTGGGAATTAGGGGAGAGTGCTGTTAGCAAATAGAAAGGAACTATCTCAGCACATGCTACTGCATTTCAATGTTCTGCTTATAACATTCCTGGCCTTCCTAGTGTCTTAGATGGGAAGCCGTGCTCCTTACCAAAGCCTCAAAGGTCCTAGTGATGTGGCCCTGTCTGATTCTCCACACATCTCATCTCTCACTAAGCTCTCCAGCTCACTGGCCTCCACTCAGTTCCTTGAACACACCAAGATAAGTCTGGCTTAAGGGTCCTGCCTGTTATTGTTGTTTCTGCCTAGAACACGCATCTTCAGAGCTTCAGTGGTTGGCTCTTTTAGGTCTCAGTTCGAATATCACCTCTTCAATGAGACCTTTCAGTGTTTTTTTCGTTACATCACCATGCTCATGCTTTTTATTTATTTTTATTTTTATGTATTAATGGAGGTACTAGGGACTGAACCCAGGACCTCGTGCTTGCTAAGCACACGCTGTATCACCGAGCTCTACCCTCTCCGTGCTCTTTCCTTTTACAATGCTTATCATTCTCTGTAGTTACCCTGCTCATTTATTTGTCTTTGTGTTTATTACCTGGCTCCTCCTACCAAGTAAGCACCTTGAGACAAAGACTCTTCCCTGCTTACTTGTTCATTGTTGTGCCATTGAATTGTATGTAGCATATTGTAGGTCGTTATTAAAAATTGTTGAAAAAGTAAATGAATGAATTTGTTCATCTGTCTTGCTCACCAGGCTATGAGATCTATAATAATTGGACCAAAATTGGACCAAAATACATCTTGCTCACTACTATATCTCCACCTGCAGAGGATATACTTAATGAGTATGTGCTGCATAAAAATGAGAGAAAAATGATAAGTCCGGGGGCACCATTAAAAAAACCTAAGAGGCTAATTTGCAGCAATGTGGATGGACCTAGAAATTACCATTCCAAGTGAAGTAAGCCAGAAAGAGAAAGAAAAATACCATATAACATCACTCATACATGGAATCTAAACAAACAAAAAAATAAGTCAGACAAATGAACTCATTTATAAAACAGAAACAGACTCACGTAGAAACCAAACTTATGGTTACCAGAGGGGAAGGAGGGTGGGAAAGGATAAATTCGGAGTTTGGGATTTGCAGATACTAACTGCTGTATATAAAAGAGATAAACAACAAGGTCCTATTGTATAGCCCAGGGAACTATATTTAATATCTTGTAATAACCTATATTGAAAAAGAATATGAAAAGGAATATATATATATGTATAACTGAATCACTATGCTGTACACCAGAAACTAACACAATATTGTAAATTGACTATACTTTAAAATTTTTTTAAAAACCTAAGAGGCTAAACCATTTTGACCAGGTAACAATTTATCTATAGCAGCATCTTCCACCTGTGGGTGTATGAGCCAACACTAGCTCTAGAGAGAACTCACCAGCCGGTGGGTGCCTTCAGGGTCACCTGAAAACCACTCAGATTTCAGGACTTATCACCCCTAGCCATATAATGCTGGTCCTCAGCCCACAAGATGATCCTTTTGGCATTTCCGAAAGTCACAGGGGTTGTCTTACTTGTGAGCAGAAACAAACCTAGCCTTACTGGAGACGATGTTTCTCCTCCAAGGGTCACATTTTTCTCTCCAAGATCCTGTTCCTCCAAACATCTGAATCTTTAGCAAACCTTGTTAATCTACTGAGCACAAAGCACTTTGCAACACCCTGTGAGGTCCTTAAAAGTTCGCAACACCAAAACTTGGTGATCTGTGGCAACCTGGGATTCCCTATCTCTCCTTTGTAACTTTCAGTCTGAGGGATCAAAAACAATGCACTGTGTGTGTGTGTGTGTGTGTGTGTGTGTGTGTGTGCGCCCTGATGCTCAGTGAATGCTCTTTCAATTTTTACTTATTTTACTTTTGGTCTAGGACCCAGTTATAAATGTGTGGGACTGAGCTAGGGACAGATGTGACAGTCACAAAGCTATCTATACATACTCAGAATCTCTTCTCTTCTCATGACTAAGGGTTTGGTACTGGGGAGCTTGTTCTGTGCCTCCTCCCTTCTGGTGATATGTTCTCTCCCAGGAGGCTCTATAGCCCTCCTGCATTGACTTCTTTCAGAGTATCTCACAATTTACCCAGAATGCCTAGTAACGTAAGCAGGAGACAAAGCTTTCACTCTTTCCTACAGGCCCTTCAGGCCCCGGAAAGTAGGCCTGAAATGCCCAGATGGGCTCTGACAGGACTGAACCTGCGTGATCTGCACCCAGGTTCGTGATCCTGATGCACAAGAAAATCTTCAAATCACACAAAGCCACACCCTCGGCAGTAAAGGCAACCAGCAGCAACAGAAGCCACAAGGTGGCAGCAAGAGCAATTTCAAGGCCACCAAAGGGAACACGGAGGCCAGTCATCACACAGGATATTCTACCAAAGGGCAGGGAGGAATTCGGGCTTTGATCAATTCTGCTGAAGTTCCTCCATGTTACTCCTCAAACTAGGGGTGTAGGTTACATGTTAATATGTAAGCATGTTGACTGGAATGATATACACAGTATTAAAATAATTACTTTATTTGTTGCTTTGGAATTATGGTGCTTTTTCTAAATAAAGTGTAGTTTTTACACTTTGTTAGCCAGTTTCCACAATTAAAGGACAATGGATAAAATCGAAGGGTGCTGTTATGCACTATTCTAACTATCCTAAGATCATCAGCGCAAGATTAATCTCTTGTCCAACCCAAGAATTAATAGTTAATTCTCTCTAATCCCTTGTTCAGTTTGTGAGTAAGTATGTTAAAAGCCATAACAAAGAAATAGCAGAAGCTCAGGTCACAACTTCAGAAGTCAAGAATTATCATAACTGGTATAATCTCTAAATCACTTGAAATCCAGCTCCATGCCCCCTTCCTATATGGGCCAGTAAGAAATTCAGTAATAGTTGGAGCTCCACCCACACAAGGCTGCACATTGTGTCTTGAGTATCCCTAAGATTCTCGAGGGCCCCAGTCATCAACCATTTGCTCACAGAAGTTACCATTGAAGTGCTAGGACATTTCCAGAGGATCTGCTGCTTTGGTTTACATTTGGGGCCCTGGAATCATCAGCAGAGCTGATGGTATCCATGCAGAAGTTACGGGCTTCTAAGCACCCTCAGAAAGAAGCCACATCCTCTTGGGATCAAGTTACCTCTTGCCTCTGAAACTAGAATATACTAAGGGACTGATCACCTATTTAGAATGAGTAATTCCAAAAAAGCCATCAACAAGAATTCCTAGAGAACATTTATAACAACTAAAACACATACAGTCAACTTTGTAACACAGCGCCATGATAATTAACATAATAAGCGGTATTCTGAAATTCTAAAATTCTGCAGATTAACTATAAGGCATGGAATGATTAAAGTCATTTCCAGTTTATTTATTTATAGTGTTTAAAATTATCTTCTAATTGCATCCCCTCTGAGGGGCCTGAATTAACTTATCTGAATATATAAAAGTAGGTCCACACCTTTCCTCAGTTAATGAAGAGAAAAATGTAATACATTACTTTATTCTAATATTCTAATAATTATTTTATTCTAATATTATTTTATTCTAATACATATTTCTAATATATCCCCTCTTACATAATTAAATGTGCATTTTTTAGTTAGGAGCACTGTCCTAGCATTTTCATATTGTTCTTTTTTATTTCAAAGCTTCTTAAGGATTTGACTCACTTTGAGCACCTAGATGCAGCCAGACATTCCCCTGGAGCGAGGAGAAAGTCACCCATGCACACCCTCTTTCACAACCATGTGTGCACACCAGTCTGATTAAAGTCCCACTTGCGCCATGGTCACCTAGGATGGTGACAGCGACACCTGTCAGAGGCTTACTCCCTGCTTTACCTGACAGGACAAGGTTGCACAAGGGTGTGTTCAGCCGCTGGACTGGTTCTGTCAGAACGGAACCCACAGATGCCTCAGGGTGGATGAAAGGAGCAACAAAGTCCCCTTTCAAAAGAATCAAGATGAGAACAGTAAGAAGCGCTTTCCCCATCAATTCTGCAGATGAGTGCAGAAAGGAGAGAGGAGGAAGAAAAGCAATCACTGATAAAATGGCCATGTTGATTTTGTCAACATAGGTATCTTATGGAAAACAAATCATCTGATTTTTTTTAAAAATGCGAAAAGAAGGAAAGAGAAATGGGAACTGCAAGGGGAAAACATTAGTGAGTGAAATTGATGAAAGGAAGTTTCTCTGAATAGTACGTTAATGAAGTTTGGATATTTAATAGGATTTAGAATTCTGAATTGTCGTCATTTGGGAAAGAAATATATCTTACTACATAATCACATCAAATAAACCTATACCAATATGTAATGATAATGATGATAATAGCAATCAGTCCTAACTTCCTGGAGGAAATACCAAGTGAAACAAAAATGATAACTTTTTTATTTATAAATAATCTTAAAATTTTATAGGTGCTTTCACTTAAATGGTCTCATTTAATTCTCATATCAGTTTAAGAAACAGTCAGCAGAATTTTTTCCCCCTATCATTTGGCAGGCAGGAGATTGAAGCCTAGACCAGTTTGGTGACTGGCCCTTGTTTATAATCTGGGAAATAGCAAAACTGGGACAAGAACTCTGGGCTTTTGCTTCCCCATCTATTTTTATTTCTGATGGAATGATCGTTCAAAGTTCCACAGTTTCCATCACTGAAAACAGCCATTAATTTCCAGTGTTGAGTAAAGCTTATCCATGGATAGATGTAATTCACAGTACTCATCCATATCAGATCAGTGCAGTTTGTGGTGGTCCCTTTCTGCGTACTTTTAAAATAACATGTGAATCAACTTAAAACAGCTCAGCTTAAAACAGCTGTCCTTTGGGTTCCCCAAGAGCCTTACTCTTCAGTCACAGTTCAGTTGGCAGGTGGCTGAGTGTCCCAACTGAAGAGCATCACTTCCACCTGCTCCACCCTTTGACCCAGTTTCTACCAACAGTTGGCACCACATCTGTTATGATACTTCATGCAGTGCAGAAGCTTTGAGTTTGATTTCAACCTGTCTCAGCAAATTTCAACCAGGCTATTTAACTTACTCTGGAAAGGGCAGAGGTAGGAAAGCACATGTGCAAAGACATTGTCACGTTCATTGTCTTCCCCACCTGTTTCCTAGATCCATCCTTTTCCCTCCAGGCTCAGGAGTAAATGTCAGATGAGTTAGACTAGAGACTCTGTTTGGGTCACACAGGCCTTAGGAGGCCATGTAAATGTTGTCAGTGCTAAAGGATCCCAAGAACTTGCGGAAAGTTCACAAGTGATGTGGTTCCATGGAGAACACCCTGCTTGACCTAGAACTTTCTGGTTACCCTAGGTCCCCTTATGATCCAAAAAGGTCCAGAGAAGGAGTAAAATTAGAGACCCACATATCAGATGTCTAAATGTTTAAATGTTGTAGGTCAGGCTGACAAGCTGTAAGATGAAATGTGTTCTCTCCTCCGACAGCAATAGCAGTGTGTCTGTCCATTATGATAAAAGGTAAAACACGTGTTTAAAGCTGTGGCTGTTTGTTACTGATAGCTGGCAAAATATAAAAGACATTTGAATTTAATTATTACTCTACATTTTAAGGATTTTTGTTGATGGACGAGAGATGTTTAGATGAATAATAACATAGAAGTATATAATTGATAAATTACTTATGAGTTGATTCATTCCATTAATTTATTTTTTCTAATCTTCTTTGGAAAAAGATCATACATTATAATGCTCTAATTAAGATTTTTACGTAGTTTGTGCTCTATTGACAGTAAAGAGCTAAATGATTAAAAATTACTTGCAACTATGATCATAGGGTACAAAATGTAAACATATTTTCAGCAAAAATTAAAACATATAAAATTTTAAATTATTTTCCATATATTTTTCCAAAACGTTATCTTCTTCTAAAATACTCAAATAAATTAAAATCAAACGTTAAAATACAAATTCTAATTAATGTATATGAAAAATTTTACTCAAATTACTTAAAGTTGATTTTTTAATTCATTGTTTAAAAATTTAATGAAATCTTATTAGACACTTTCATAAAAATGAAACCATCCATCCAGGGACTTTGAGGGCATTATGCTAAGTAAAATAGATCAGAAGGAGAAAGGCAAATACCTTATGATCTCACTTGTATATGGAATTAAAAAAAAAAATCCAAAACCATAGAACTCATACGTAAAGAGAACAGATTAGTAGTTGCCAGAGGTGAGGTCTGGGGATGGGCGAAATGGGTGAAGGGGGTCAAAAGGTACAAATTTGCAGTTATAAAATAAGTAAGTCACGAGGATGTAATGTACGGCATTGTCTTATAGTTAACAATACTGTGTTGTATATTTGAAAGTTGCTAGGAGAGTAGATCTCAAAAGTTCTCATCCCAAGAACATATATTGTAACTGCGGTGATGGATGTTAATTAGAATTATTGTGCTGATCATTTCACGATGTATACAAGTATCAAATAATTATGTTGTACACCCAGAACTAATATAATGTCATATGTCAATAATTTTTTAAAAACTTAAAAAAATTCTAGCATTGAATGCCCATTTAATTGTTAATACAAAGAATCATTATCACGCTTTATGCATATAATGTCTAGATCAGCACAGTCCAATAGAAATATAGTACAAGCCACATGCAGAACTTTAAATTCTTCACATGAAAAATTTTTTCTACATTAGAAAAATTAAAAAGTAAACTTTCAAATAGTTAAAATTAATTTTAATAATATATTTTACTGAATCCACAATATTAAATTATCACTCCCACATATAATCAATATAACAATAATTAATAAGGTCTTTTGCATTCTTTTTTTCATACTGAGTGTTCAAAATTTGGTGTGTATGTTACACTTACAGCACTACTCAGCTGGGGTGGCTACATTTCCCTATTCCCCTAGGTGCCTCAAATCCACTGGTGGCAAAGGCTACCATATTGGAGAGCCATGCAAATATTTATAAACACCATATTAATTCTGACAGCCTTCAAATCCACAAATTGAAACATAAAGAAAAGCACAAAAATGGATGCTCCACACTACTGGGAATGATGTTAGGGGAAGTCTTGATATACTAATTAATTTGTCTTTCTCTAACCTAAACACATCCACCACTCTAATTCTCTGAAGCAGCGTCCATCTCCAGTGTTGACAGTCCCACAACCCACAAACCGTACAGGGGTGCAGGTGCCTTTTGTTTCAAAGGGCATAGAGTAAGGGTTTGGAGAAGCATTTCCTTAGGGCCCGGATAGGGTTAAGAACAACAGTAGATGTTTAGCGTTAGATCACAGTGTGCAGCCCTGAGCACCAGACATTGAGTAGTAGAGATCCAATGTGTTTGTTAATAAACTTATTTGCTAGTGTGTTAATAAAAATTGAAGCCTTGGGGAGGAGCTGTTCTTGCCCTGGGATGAAGGAGGAGGTGGATCAGGGCAGCCCTAGAGTTAGCCAGGCTCTCCAGGGGTACATCAGAACAGGAAGGGATGGAGACAGGCCAGGCCACCCAGGGCTGTCAATCTAGGATCACAATGGTTTCTCAGCAAGTTGAGAGTTTATTGAAGTGTTTGGCATGAGAATACTCACTGGTACATATTTTTTTCCTATGTTATGCTTCTCGAAGCACTGGCTCCAATTTCAAGATTAAACATGAAAAATGCAGGGATGGAAGAGAGGACATCTACCTTTTAACAGATGCATAACAATGACGCTGAGCCAACCTCCCTCACCATCCCTCAATCTCTCTCTCACACACATGTACATGTCTTACCATAGGCACATATGTGTATAAACTCCACGGTGAACAGGGTTATGTTGCATTGCTTTTATTCTTTGTTTAAAATATACATAAATTACAGAACATGGACCACAAGCAAGTTTGTTACAGTGGTAAAACAGAACAGTCAGATTATGGGAAATTTCCAGTCTCTCAGTAAACAACCGTTGATTCAGGTTCCAGGTCTTGTGTTAGCTACCACTGAAACAGAAACACGTGATTCTAGCTTGGGGAGAAAGCAGAGCTAATTAAAGCCTTTGGCGTTTATGACTCTCCATTTCCTTTAACTCTTTCTTCAAAGATCACTTTCTTCATAACGTCTTTTCTGAGCATCATATTTTGAATGGAATCACCAAGTGTCCCACCTTCACCCCAAGTCCTGCACTATTTGCCTGCTCTGTGTCATTTTTCTCCGTAGCACTTATCATCACCTGAAATACTGTAGATTTCACTTATTTAGTTTTTCATATTATCCACTAAAATTCTCCACAACAATGAGAATGATCACCCAACTTGTTCACTGCTATGTCCCTAGAAGCTAGAACAGGGCCTAATGTAATGGAAGCTACTGAGTGAATACTGAATAAATGAACTGATAAATGAATGAGTCAATGGGGGTTATTGTTTTGGCACTAGTTAGCAATCATCCTTCACTTTTTCCAACTAAAATTGAAACCACACTCCCCTGTGTAAACAGCATACATCCGTAGAATGTTCAGGAACAGGATAAAAGAAGGTAGTGGACTGGTAAAATGGAAAGATTATATATGTCAGACTAGTGGTTAGAAATCTTTACTTTCATCTTATCTAAGCCACTACGCAGCTGTGACTCTGGGCAAGTCAATTTACTTCTCTAACATTTAACCTCAGCCAGCTTGCTAAGAGAAATGTCTTTTAAGAAAGCCAAAACCCCAAACCCAAATATGTAACATTTTACAAAGTTGATATGTTCCAAACTGGCAGAAAGATGTTATCTGTAGTTATAATGTTGGAATCTCTTGCATATAAACTGTGTGTTTTATCTAACCAAAATATTGTTTATAAATCCTGTTCATGTACCTTTTGTAAAATCGATCAAAACTTGAAATCTAGCAACACCTGAAAGAAATTATTTTTAAATTTAAAAAGAAAGACATGTAAAATCATCTTTGTATCTCTCTTTTTAGGTTCCAGCTTTCACTATTCTGAGTTTTAAAATTATCAAAATATCGTGCAATTTACAAGTTGCTTTCACCATGAAGAATCATTTTTTTTTTGCTCCTTGTTTTTAAAATCTTGATGTGATAGACTACATTTTGACTTTAACATTATTCATTTATTTATCCTCTTTCTCCACACTCTCTGGGCATTCAAACAATTTTAATACATTTAATTAGGTCTATATTTTAGAATATGGAATTCAGCAATGTTTTATTTATTAAGAATATTTTAATTTGTAGGTTTGTTCCATGTAAGTTTATTAAGAATACTTTAATGAACAAGTTGGTTCCATATAAGTGACCCGGTTAACCTGTGAATGAGAAAGAACAAGGAGGTGGAAGAAATCTTTTGGTCTCTGGGTTCATATATGCAGCCACATTCCACAGGCTTGGGGAGTCCACAGGCTTGGGCTGGGCTCTGGAGCTCATCTGAAGGCTGAGATGGCTGGCCTTTCTTTACATGTGGCTTTTCATCTTCGTGTGACCATAGTAGCATTGTAAGAATTCTGTGAGTGTCAAAACCAGGTCTAAGAGCAAGAGTGCCTGGCTATGGTTGGCTGACTATGATGACTGGGAACGCACATACTCCAGTAAGCGTTGCTAATCTTCTCATTTTTCCTAGGAAGCCAAATACCTAGATACAAAGATGCAGATTCTTTTCGTGATTATTATTATTATTCTGATTTGGCAGTTAGAGATATTTGTGGCATTTCAGTAAATTGGGTGTCTTAGTGCTCTGAAGCCTCAACATACAAACGTTTATCAAGCATTTGTTTGTATCATGTTTGCTGATGTCTCCATCGGCCAAATCCAAAGTCAGTTTGGAAGGGAATCCACACGGCCGTGGATACTGGCAGGAAAGATTCATAGGGCATTAACGTAACTCTCTACCCCAAGATCGTTGACAATTGTAATATACAGTTTTCTTCAATAATTATTAAAATGGAGCATATTTTGTCAATTAAAGAGATCATCCACCCCAATGTAAGGATTTTATTTTCCACTGTTAGTATTTTCATTTACTTCTATTATTTCCATTTATTATCAGTACCATTTTGTGTTTCATTGAATTCACAGATTTTTTTTCAAAACAGCATTGCTATTTCTTTTCTTATGTTCCTCTGCTTCTGGGTTTCATTGACTATAATTAATTAATTTCACAATGCAATCGTTACAGTTCTATGGAGAGTCAAATGTTTAAGTGCTTTTAAATTTTTTTCTTTGGTAAAGAAAGTTAAGCATGTCAACAGATCAAGGGAAGGCTAATATTTTAAAACTATTTTTATGTATGAAGTCCTAATTTTACAATACTATGTCAAAAAACAAACAAACAACAACAAAAAGCAACAACTAAATATGCCACACAAAACACATCAATAGGCTGAACCGGGCCCAAGAGCAAGCAGTTTACAAACCCCGGCTCAAACGAAAAGTAAATCCCCAAATTAGTATTTTAGCATAACAAGCCCAAATTTTGCTCTATGCTAAGTGGTCCAGATAGGTCTTAAGAGAATTTAGAATGTTAATGTTTTCCACCATCTGCCATTTTCAAAATGAAACTACAATCTAATTTGAAGAAATGATTAGCCACACAGCAGACTGTTACAGAATTATATACATATTCATTAGTGACAAGCATAAAATCGGTTTAATTTTGTTGTGCGGTGAAAATGCTATTCAGGAAAACCTGAGTGCAAGTCTTTTAGCCAGATTGATTTTAATTTCATGCCAGTTGATAAAAGTTGGCTAATTCAGGACTGTTTTATGATTACTGGTAATCACTTTGTTGGGGTAGGGGGCAGAAATGGACCTTCAAAAGTGTGGTCTGCAGACTAATAGCATCAGCATTACCTACAGCTTCAGGAACTTGTTAGAAATGCACTATCTTAGGCACCATGCCAGATGTAACTGAATTGGAATCTGCAGTTTAACAAGATCCCCAGGGGCTTGTGTGCTCATTAAAGTTTGAGAAACATTGTCCTAGGATACATTTCTTGGTTAAAAGATGTCGTTCAAAGCCACCAGGAAGGAAGTCCTCAGTGAGCTCTTGATGGTAGGTGTGAAGGATGAGCACTTGGAGCAGGGCACTGGCTCTGGACTGAATGAGACAGAGATGTTTGAATTGGCCCCGGAGCCCCACGAAGTTCTTGCTACTAGCCCCACACAGCTATGTTCTGCTGCTGCTCCTCCAGCTGCTGAGAACTGTTTCCGTATGAATGCCAGTTTTCTGAGAGGACACCCATCTCCCAGAAATACTTGCTGTCAGTCCATTTTGCTCAAACTCCCAAAACTTTCACCCACATTTCAATTTATGACTCAATCAGATGATGTCATCTGTCCCATTATTGGTCACGTTAACGTAATCATTTTGTTAAGGCGCTGTCAGTTTTCCCTGAAAAACTTCCTTTTCCCCTTTGTACTTAATGTGATCTGTGATGTGATGTTTCAGATTAGGTGACTACCTTGTTCCTTAACAATCCTTCAATCAATAACTTAAGCCTTCATGGCTGATTCTAGCCAGAAGCAATTATTACTATGGTGGCTGGAAAGTCATGGCTTTTCTACTCCTCTCACTCCTTCTACATTCATTGGTGAGCATTTGTGTCAGAAGACACAAATATACGCCTCATTTACATTACTTTTATGAAAGTCACAGGAATTTTATTTTGCAATAAAATGCAAACTCTGAAGCAAGCTACTTCCACTCATATCTTATCATATGTAATTTAATTTGAAGCCTGTGGGATAGGAAGCACTACATTAGAAATACCAAAATAGTGGTGACGGTGGCATTCGCTTCTTTTTTTCTTACTACTCATCTGCAGTTTTACTGGATACTCGCCATTTCTGCCACGTGATATCCAGAACAGATGCTATAATATCCATATTCAGTCAGGATGTATAAAGGATATTTCAGAATTTACACATTTCGAGCAATCATTGCTTGGTTCTAGTTGTTTTATTGTCACAATTTTTTTTCCTTCTTATTCCTACAGACTTTTTAAAAAATTGAAGTATAGTTGGTTTACAATGTTGTGTTAGTTTCTGGTGTACAGCATAGTCATTCAGATAATATATATATATATATTCTTTCTCATTATAGGTTATTACAAACTACTGAAAATAGTTCCCTGTGCTGTTCAGTAGGATCTTGTTTAGTTATTTTATATATCTTTGTATCTGCTAATCCCAAACTCCTAATTTATCCCTCCCCCTACCTTTCCGCTTTGGTAACTATAAGTTTGTTTTCTATGTCTGTGAATCTATCTCTATTTTATAAATAAGTGTATTTGTGTCATTTTTTTTTTAGATTCCACATATATGTGATATGATACTTGTCTTTCTCTGACTTACTTCACTTAGTATGATAATCTCTAGGTCCATTCATGTTGCTACAAATGACATTATTTCATTCTTTTTTATGTCCGAAGTAGTACTCTATTGTATGTATAGACCACAACTTCTTTATCCAATCATCCACATTTAGGTTGTTTCCGTGTCTTGTCTATTGTAAATAGTGCTGCTATAAACATTGGGGTGCACGTATCTTTGCGAATTTGAGTTTTCTCTTTATATATGCCCAGGAGTGGGATTGCTAGATCATATGGTAACTCTACTTTCAATCTTTTAAGGAATCTCCATACTGTTTTCAACAGTGGTTGCAGCAATTTACATTCCCACCAACAGTGCAGGAGGGTTTCCTTTTCTCCACAGCCTCTCCTGCATTTATCATTTGTGGACTTTTTAATGATGGCCATTCTGACTGGTGTGAGGTGGAGGTGATTCCTCTTTGTATTTTTGATTTGCATTTCTCTGATAACTAGCAATATTGAGCATCTTTTTGTGTGCCAATAGGCCATCTGTGTTTCTTCATTGGAGAAATGTCTGTTTAGATCGTCTGACCATTTTTTGATTGGGTTGGTTATTTATTTTTTTGCTGTCAACTTGTTTGAGCTGTTTATATATTCTGGAAGTTAAGCCCTTGTTATTGAACTTGTTTTTATTCAGCTTTACCCTTTAGCCCCTACATTCCAACTAAGAGGACATGTCTGCTCATTTACATCAGTGATGCTACAGAATTTTGGATAAAATGCTTAAGTATTAATTATATTGAATAGGTTTTTATAAATATTCATCACATGTTATAATCTACTATTTCCTATCTAGTAAATTAGTAAAGCTTGGTGCATTATAAATAACCACCTTCATGGTTCTTTTGGCTTATTTATTTTTGCCAAATGATTATCAGGACAGTGGAGACTTTTAATATTATTTCTTGATATAGGAGGCAGTTTTTTTCAATATGAAAGTATATTATAGACTGTCTAGAGGACTATAATTTTCCCCATGGGAAGAAACAGCTAGCAATGGTTATTTCCTTTTTCTACACATACAAAGTAAATTTTAAAACATTATAGATGGTTACTTAATTCAAATATTAATGAAGAGAGACATATCACAATGGCTTTTAAAAAATCTTTTCAAATTCCATGGAAGAACTTATTCTCTTTAAAGTAAATTTATTTGAAGAAATTTTAGTGGTAATAAAAGTGCTATGCTTTGTCCTTTTAATGATCATTATCTCATTTGACCCACACAACAATTATATGAAGAAGATATGAAATACATTATCTTCATTTATCAGATAAGGAAAGCCTTAAAGAGACTAGTAACTTGCGCACGCCCATACACCATAGGGCCGAGATAAAAATAGCACTGAGGCCTACTGATTCCTGGACCAGGATACTTTCCATTGTAATACACTATCCGTCTTCCTAATTGCTCTTAAAATCGATGATCTGTTGCAGAAAAAGTGCCAAAGGAAAATTCTGTCAGCAAAAGAAGCAACCTACTAGTTAGGATCTAACAAAATGTGCTCCTCAAAGTATGTTCCTTTCCTTTGGTCTTATTATTTATTCTAGATCAAAAATAAATAAATAATTGCATACCAGCAGAAATTTACCAAGCCAGTTATTTCACAGTTTTGAAGATTTTGTGCCCAACCCTAATTCCTATATCATTGGTTTGGTTTTTTTTTAGAGTTCTTTTTTTTTAAATTGAAGTACAGTCAATTACAATGTGTTAATCTCTGGTGTACAACACAACGTCCCAGTCATGCACATACACATATATATTCATTTTCGTATTTCTTAGAGTTCTTTTTGTAATTTAATTTTTTTGATGTATAAATTCTTTTTTTTTGTTGAGTTGTAGTTGGTTTATAATGCTATGTCAATTTCTGGCATATAGCACAATTTTTCAGTCAGACATGAATATACATATATTCATTTTCATACTCTTTTCCCCCATAAGCTACCACAAGATCTTGTATATATTTCCCTGTGCTACACAGTATAAACTTGTTTATCTATTCTTATATCATTTTATTTGGAAATCTTTTGTATTATTCTGGACCAAATCTTGTTAGTAATACAAGAAATGTTGCTGAATCTAATTCACCTTTGGCAGTTAAAATTTGTGAGTTTGCAAATCAGTTGAATTAGCTCTGCCACATTGACCTTATTAATTATAGACTTGATTTAGTTTCTTGGTAAAATGATCTTCACAGTAGGGCATGAAAGCATAATATTTCTTTCACTTTCTAACTTGACTTTATGGCTAGGAATAATCTTAGTATTACTTAGATGCTACTCACTGCCAAACCCCTGCAATTTAATTCTTTATATGCTCTGGCAAGGACAACACTCTCCAATTTACAAAGATATTTTTCTTTGAAGAATGCCTGTTGGCTCCAGATATGAAATTGACTGATGTCAAATGATTTAAAGGAAAAATAAAAGTTATGGAAGGCGGAAGTGTGATGCGGAAATCACTCGTAATTTGAGTCTCAAAAAATGACAGGATACTGCCTGATAAACATAGTAGAAACTCAATGAATGTTTGTTGAATGAACACACGAATTAGTTAACATTTACTCATGGCATAAATCTTAACCATTACCTTTTCTAGTAAGCCACTGACATTCCCAGTCGAAGTTAAGAGACCCTCTTGTTTCCATTACACCCCATCATACTTCTGTCTTACTTCTGCTAAGTGAAAGAAACTAGCCCCAAAGGGCTATGTACTACATAATTCCAATTACTTGACATTTTCTGGAAAGGCAAAATTCTAGAGAAAGCAAAAATTATCAGTGGTTTCCAGGGGCTCAGGGAGATGGGAAGGGGTTGAATAGACTTAGTACAGGAAATTTTGTAGGGCAGTGTAAATATTCTGTGTGGTACTGTAAGGGTAGATAACTATCACTATGCCTTTCTTACAATCCATAGAACTTTACAGCAAAGGTGAATCTTAAGGTATGAAATTTTTAAAAATCATTTAGAAGGTGAGGAAATCCTAGGATGGAATACAGACTGTAACAAGAGAATTTAATTGTATTATAACAAAATAGATGGACAACCTCACTGAAGAAGATCAGGATGAAAGTTGCTGATCTAGGTAGATTTGGAAGTGAGTAGGGTCTGTTAAAACTGAAGGCAAAAGGAACTGCGTGTAGACAATGTGCTCCAGTTGATAGAGTTGTTTCCCAAGGGGGGACAAGTCAACAATTCTGCTATTGTTCTATGTGTATGCTGGAATTGAATGATTAAGTAAATGGATCGCAAACGGTGTGAGCCAGATTTCTCACTGTTGGAGTGGATGTTTACAGTAAGCAAGGAAAAAGGAGGCTCAAGTAAGCCATACGGTGGTAATAGATTAGAGTTAGAGACACCAGTACAAACTGCACTTCTCTAATAGCAAATGACACTGAGCCTCCCACATGTTTATTTGCCATTTGTATATTTTCTTTCACCTGGTGTCCAGATCTCTTGCTTATTTTAAAACTGAATTGTTTGTTTTATTATTGTTGAGTATTAAGACTTCTTTACATGTTTTGGATACAAGTCCTCTATCAGATGAATGTTTTGCAAATATTTTCTCCAACATTTCTAAACAGTCTTTAACAGAGCAGAAGTTTTAAATTTTAATGACGTAACAATTTTTTTTTCATGATTGCAACTCTGGTGTTGTGTCTAAAAATGCATCACCAAAACCAAGGTAACCTAGATTTATCCTATGTTTTCATCCAGAAGTTTTATTATTTTGATTTTATAGTTAGGTCTATGGTCCAATTTGAATTAATTCTGGTGAAATATACATGGTCTCTATCTAGGTTTTTGTTTTGTTTTGTTTACGGACATACAATTTTTCCAGCATGGTTTGTTGAAAAGAGTATCCCTTTTCCACTGAATTGTCTTTGTTTCTCTGTTAAAGATCAGTTGACTATATATGTGTGCATCTATTTATGGGCTCTCTATTTTTTTTTATTGATCTGTGTGTCCATTCTTTCCCCAATATCACACTGTCTTGATTACTGTAGCTTTATAGTAAGTCCTGAAATCAAGTTGTGTAAGTTCTCCAATTTTGTTCTTTATCAGTATTGTTAGCTATCCTGTCTTTCTTTAAAAAAATTGAAGTATAATTGACCTACATCACTGTATTAGTTACAGGTGTACAACATAGTGGTTCAATATTTCTATATGCAAAATGATCACTATGATAAATCTAGTTACCATCTGTCACCATACATAGTTATTACAATGTTAATTGAGTATAATCCCTATACTGTATATTTCATCCCTGTGACTTATTTATTTTGTAACCAGAAGTTTGTGCCTATTAATCTCCCTCACCTATTTTTCTCTTCTCTGTACCCCCCTTCCTTCTGGCAACCACTTGTTTGTTCTCTGTATCTGTGACTCTATTCCTGTTTTGTTATGTTTATTCATTTATTTTGTTTCTTATATTCCATATATAAATGAAATCATACAATATTTTTCTTTCTTTAACTTCTTTCACTTGCCTAGAGGTCTATCCATGTTGTTGCAAATGACAAGAGTGCATTCTTTTTCATGGCTGAGTAATATATATATATCACATCTTACTATATATATCATATCTATAATATATGTGTGTGTGTGTATGTGTGTGTGTATATCACATCCTCTTTATCCATTCATCTTTTGGTGGGCACTTGTGTTGCTTCCATATCTTGGCTATTATATATAATGCTGTAAGGAACATAGGGGAACATATATCTTTTTTGGCTGAGTGTTTTTGTTTTCTTTAGATTAATACCCAGAAGTGTAATTACTGGAT